AAAAGTCAGCCGCAATCAAATTCATGGTAATGGAATTGAACATCTCCAAAACATCGATTTATCGCAGTTTGAGCAAACATTGGGAATTACGAAAGGAGGGTGCACGGTTTGTTCCGCACAAATTGACTAACAACCAAAAATTGCTCAGAAATCAACATTCGAGGGACGATTATTTGAACATAAATCTCATTTCAATCATTCTTTTCGGAAATGTGCATTTGCCCATGAAAGGAAAGCGTTATGCAAATGCAGAAGCAATTCAAAAGGCTTGAGCCGGCATACTGGCGGCCATACCGGCCAACAAGGTCGAGTACTTAATATTAATATTAATAGAAATGGTTCAAATTTTCAAGGAATGTTTTTAGGGTAATTCCAAGGAACTTTTATGAGATGATTGAAAAACAAAAAAATATTAAAGAAAGGACCTTTACACAACAATTAGTTATGCATAATGAATTTATTGTAAAACTGGAAGTGAACGGTCTCTAACTTCCTTTTGGATTTATAAATTAAGTATATATGTAGACTCCCATCAATAGGGCTGAATTTGCAACGTAGAGATAGATCCACATTTGAGAAATCTTATTGAAATAGGGTTAGAGAATTTTGCTTTGAAGGGTGTGATTTGATACAGAAAGAAGTTTATTTTGAACCATGCCTTCATCTAGATCACATATATGGAACCGTTTTATTTCGGTTTGTTTGAGAGATATACCAAAAAATTTTGCAAGGATGTTTCCTTTGGCATAGTGTAGTTTGATACCAAAAATAGGTCTAATGGGTTTATATCTTCGACCAGGCGTCATATAATAAAAAAAAAAAAATCTTCTGTCTTCTAAATATTTACTAAATATTTATATGGGTGCTTGTAAGATATATCTCAATAAAATTTATAAATATGTTTATCTTACTATACCAAATATTAAATGTAGCGACCACTACGTTACTCTAGGTTCATACTTGTTGCGATAACTCTTTACTACTTCTTATTTTTTAGTTTTGTCTGATATTSCTTGTCCGAACTAAATATAACCGCTAAACTCAAGTTTCATTTCAATTTCTACCAGCTTAGTGGTATATCTGTAAGTGGAAGCTTCTAAGTGTTTAAACCTTCCCCACAATGGGATCTAGCGTGG